CGTGTTCTGTAATAATTCCTTAAATTCTTCGGTGTATGCCACATCACCTTTCGAGGAATCGGGTTTTTCTTTTTTACCGAATAAATTGAAGAAACTGATTTTTCGTTCTTCACTTTCCTTAGTAGAAGGAGGAACCTCCTCTTTTTTGATATGAGTAGACTCAGATCCTTTTGATTCCTTCACATCCACTTCTTTAATGATTTTTTCAGTGGGAATTGTAATTACCTCCTTTCTACTTTGAAGAGGTTGTTTTTCAATGGGATCACACTCATAATTTTGCAGTTCGTTGTTTACGAACGATTCCGTGTTCTGTAATAATTCCTTAAATTCTTCGGTGTATGCCACATCACCTTTCGAGGAATCGGGTTTTTCTTTTTTACCGAATAAATTGAAGAAACTGATTTTTCGTTCTTCACTTTCCTTAGTAGAAGGAGGAACCTCCTCTTTTTTGATATGAGTAGACTCAGATCCTTTTGATTCCTTCACATCCACTTCTTTAATGATTTTTTCAGTGGGAATTGTAATTACCTCCTTTCTACTTTGAAGAGGTTGTTTTTCAATGGGATCACACTCATAATTTTGCAGTTCGTTGTTTACGAACGATTCCGTGTTCTGTAATAATTCCTTAAATTCTTCGGTGTATGCCACATCACCTTTCGAGGAATCGGGTTTTTCTTTTTTACCGAATAAATTGAAGAAACTGATTTTTCGTTCTTCACTTTCCTTAGTAGAAGGAGGAACCTCCTCTTTTTTGATATGAGTAGACTCAGATCCTTTTGATTCCTTCACATCCACTTCTTTAATGATTTTTTCAGTGGGAATTGGAATTACCTCCTTTCTACTTTGTAGAAGTTGTTTTTCAATAGGATCGCGCTCATAATTTTGTAGTTCGTTGTTTACAAACGATTTCGTGTTCTGTAGTAATTCCTTAAATTCTTCGGTGTATGCATCATCAGTTTTCAAGGAATCCTGCTTTTCTTTTTTACTGAATAAATTAAAGAAACTAACTTTTCCTTCTTCAGTTTCCTTAGTACATGGTGCAATCTCTTCCTTCTTGCCTAGAACAGAATCACCTACTTTTGGTTTCTTCACGTCCATTTCTTTAATAATTACTTCGGTGGGAATTGTAATCACCTCCTTTCTACTTTGTGCATCCTGTTTTGCAGTAGGTCCACTCTCATAATTTTGTAATTCGTTGTTTACGAATGATTTTGTGTTCTGTAGTAATTCCTTAAATTCTTTAGTGTATACCTCATCAGCTTGCAAGGAATCAGGTTTCTCTTTTTTACCGATTAAATTTAACAAATTGATTTTTCGTTCTTCAGTTTCCTTAGTAGAAGGAGTAACAGCAACTTCCTCTTTTTTAGGTTGAATAGACTCAGATCTTTCTGATTCTTTCACATCCATATCCTTAATGATATTTTCAGTGGGAATTGTAATTACCTCTTTTCTAGTTTGAAGATGCTGTTTTTTAACAGGATCGTATACATACTTCTGCTGTTCGTTATCTACAAACGATTTCGTGTTTTGTAATAATTCCTTAAATTCTTTGGAGTATGCCTCATCATCGTGCAAAGTATCACGTTTTTCTTTTTTACTGAATAAATTGAAGAAACCGATTTTTCGTTCTTCAGTTTCTTTAGTAGACGGAGTAATCTCTTCTTT